AGGTCAATCACATGTGTGGGGATGTTGATGGCTTTGGTGGGTTTTAGCCATGGATAAATAGTCTTAGTACTTGATGTTCTAGTTCTAGTTCCGATATATAATATATATGTATTTACAGCACCATCATATGTCAATTTACTTAAGTATTAATAAAAGTCTAGGGCAGGAGCTATACCCAAATATTAAAAAAAAAAAAAAAGAAATTGCCCTAACAAATTTAGCTATATAAAAAAATATATTTTTTTAAAATAATATAATCTTTAAAAATTTTACTACTATAAATAGAAGGTATGATCTAGATTTTATAAAAATTTGGATCAAAATTAATTATGTTCTTGAAAATTTTTATTAGTGGTGAACTTTTATTATCTATATAAGGTCTTGATTTGACATGTATATTATATGGAAAATGATCTATGTACACTCTACTCTTAATTAAAAGATTTCTGATGTGAGCACTATAGCCTAAACAGACCAATCAAGAATAATCTTTGTTAAGCAATTTCCAGGCAGCTTACATAGAACTAGTGTTGTCCATCACAATACCAGAAAACATAGAGAAACCAATAATTTCAATTATAGTTTTAAACTTATGATAAATGTATTTCACAGTATGTAACTCAGATCCAGAATATATAACATCATAAAAAATGTGGTTGGGAAGGCAAAGAATGAAATTGATAACTGATTCTCATTAGATATTTGACCACCATCCAACACTAATGTAATATTAGTTGCTTCATCTAAAATAGTATTCAAAATTTGTTAATTGATCAGATATTCAGAATCCAGTAAGTTATTTGCTAAATTATGTTGATTAGGACTAATGTAAAATGGGTGTACATTTTTAATATAATGTTGCACAGCTTCCATGAATTCATCCCAAAAAGGGTTTTCAAAAGAAATACCCACTGAATAAAAAAACCTTGCTAGAATTCTATCCACATCTGTTTTATCTAATTGTATATCTTCGTTTGAACTAGAATTTTGGCCCTGAAGTTTCAATGAATCTTTTATGTTTTTTGGAAGCTTTTTACATTTTGATAAATGACCTTTTAATCGGTCAATTAAGCCAACACAATTTTTTTCGCAATAATTACATCTTTGACGAGGTGTTGTTCGACAATGTTTATCGGGTTCAGTGATTTTTGTAAAGTTTAAATGGATTTCTTTTAATGGGGGTCTTCCACGAATACGAGATATTGGCTTTTTTTTTTTTTTACCTTTGAATATTGGTAATCACAATAAATATATACAATACAATTGAATTACGCAATTACATAATTTTGGATTGCGTAAGAAATGGTTTAAAACATTTTCAAACAAATTTAAATCAAACAGTCTCGTTTTTTAAGATCATGATTTAAATCATTTGCCATCCCTACTACCGCGTCACACTCAATTTATTACTTATTTATATTTATGCGTTTAGGACGAGAAGATATGAAAGTATTTGATTTAAATGAAAACGATAGTATGTTCGTTATTATCAGTGCAGGTGATAACTTATTAGAATATGCTTTACGAGAAAATTCTAAACGGATACACTGCGTAGATCTTAACCCATTCAGGTAAAAATACTTTCTATATTCCGCAAAATTGAACCGACGATTTAAATCTGGTTCATAATTTGGAATTGTCGAACTGGAAACGATGATTTGTTTCTTGATGCAAGACAACATTTAAAATATGTGCCAGCTTAAGCAATATATATATATATATCAAAAAATAATTGTTGCCAACACATTGCAGATGTTTTAATATAGCTTAACCTGATACCACACAATTTCCAGAGCAGTTCCAAATATAATTTAATTTCTTACTGATTCAATTCATTTTACAGAACCATTTACTTGAACTGAAGCTTGCAGGCATCAGTGCACTAAATTACAAAGACTTTTGGAGTTT